AAATTTCTCAAAGAAAGCCACTTCCGAAGCCATAGCAGACGAGGTTCAAAGCCGAATGTGCGACAATAATTTTCAGAAGAGATCGATTGAAACAAATCGCAAAAAAATGACGACAGATGAGGGGGTTTTCAGTCTACGCATATATGCAAAAAGTGCAACATTTTGACGTTAAAGTTTTTATTTCGCCCGCAGGGGGTTTGCAGAAAAATCCATTGTGCGTCAAGCCGCTGGCCTGTTGAACGACTTCAATCAGCGCCGCTGCAAAAGGTCCGCCTCATTCGACGCGCTGGAGATACATCCAGGGGGCCTCTGGGGCGTTGAAGTCACCTACCAGCAGGAGATGAGTGAAGTGGTAGTTGGAGGAGAGTTGCCCAAGTATTTGTATGAGGAATTGGCCATCTTCAGGTGAACGCGAAGGGCTACGGTAGACCACACCGAGAAGGAGAGAATCGGACCCGCGCAGTGTGATTTGGATCCACAGTGCATCGCAAACATTTGCAGTTGTTTCAGAGAGGACAATCGGGGTTAGTAAGGCCACATGTTGGTACAAAGTAACCCCACAAGCCCCTCTCATCGTTTTGAATCAGCTCGAAAAACGGAGTAGCCGTCTATCAAGATTTCTGCGTCAGAGATATCTGGTGTGAGTCGAGTCTCTGAGTGAATTATGGACGGCTGTCAAGGCAAGCGACTGTTAAATATCGCAAAGTATGTCGAAAGGGCTAGGGCAGTTTGTAAAAGAGCTCCTACCAAAGCTAAGAATTTTGCACCGGATAATGTAAAATTTTAGCATCGTTTTTCGTTCCACTGGTAAAAAGTTCCCAGCGGTGGGTGAGCGCGGCGTAACGAGACAGAATTTGGAGTACTTCTTCGACCACGAGCGTCGTTCCTTCATAGAACTGAAGTTCATTTTGAAGAGATACCAGCAAGAAAGGTGAAAATTTTATGCCCATCTACATAGTTCATCGACATGCGAGAATGAACGAAACTCTCAGGAAGCAGTATCAGTTTGTTGGTTGCCCATTCATAATATGCTTTTTGTGCAGTCCAATCAGCACGCATCCGCACCCGAGTGCAGAACATGTGTAGAAATTTTTTGACGCGTTCTGTGCCGTTGATGAGCTTTTAATTACACAGGAACCAACAAGCCCAGGGGCCCCTTTGTTCGTCTTTTACTGATGCAAAATGCAATACTCCACATTTCCGCTTCCCTGCGGAATTTAGTCGGTCGGCTGATTCGTTATTCGACGATTGGCGGGAAGCTTTGTGCTCGACAACCGTCGTGTTCCTGCAGATTAGTTTTGCCGTACCATGAAATGCTTTCCGCCTGCCACGTTTACGTGTAAAAAATTAGGCGCGAGCTGTCTTTGTCTTCAGGGCCTGCTCAGAGCAACCGCTTACAGTAAAATACTTCGGGTTGTCGCATGAGTGACGGTTTTGTTGCTCAACAGATGTGGGTATCCACTGTACTTACAGTAGTGCTTCATTAGCAACCAGGTGACGACTTCCAGATATAACGGACTTCACTGCCTAAGGGTTTATACGAGGCCATTCGTTGAGGCACTGGTGATTGCCGGTATCGTTAATCCTTGTCACCGATACTTTGGAACCAGAAAACCATGTGACACTTCATTCCCTGGAGAAACCTTTCTTCACTATAAACGACACCAACTGTTGATGCAGGAGAAAAACTCATCCCTGATCATTCAGCACACCATGGTCGATTGCAATCAGTTTGTTCCACCTTTTATGTTGCTTATCAGCGGTTCATTTTTGAACCATCGACTTCGGCATCGAAACATTTTGACAGCTGTACTTCGGATGGACTAAAATACGCTCACCTCCACCGGGTTTAACCTTTCAATTTAACGAGCCGATGAGATTTTTCCTGTTCCTTCCGAAAGACACATTCGTCTTTTTGAAGACTGCCGTCGATGGTACATGCGTCATACACATGGACGCACGCGCGCTCACACCCATGGCAGGAGGTGAGCCATACATCCTAAGCCCACGAACAATTACGGAATACGCGAAGTAGCTACACCAGCGAGAAAACATGTTCTGCATCCGAACTCTCAGTCGGGTACCCTCAACGGGTGTCCTCAAAGCAATAAGACGATTTCGACTTATTTAACTTTCCGCTTGTGTTTATTTTATCGAGATGCGCCTAGCTGATTTGGTCATCATTCTACAAAGAACACTTTCAGCATTTGTCACCTAAATATCAGGCTTATTTCATTACAACCAGAGCACTAACAAAGCCAGTTCTTACTTCTGATATTCGGGATCGTCATACTCACGCATGACTCTTAGTTGCGACTAGGAAAAATCAACTTTATGGACTTGCATCAACCCTCGTTCCCAGTTGAGGCTCTGCTGCATAATCTCCGCTTTCATCAGTCATCCTTCCGTTGTTATAATAAATTTTGGTAACAACAAGCTAATTAATCCGCACCAGTTTACGTCCGATGTAGACACCAAGCTGAAGGACACCATGTTGAAAGACGTCGTCGAAGTTCACCACATTACCACAGTCCGCCATTCATGTGTTGCTTGCGACAGTCTCACCAGGGCTTAAAGCAAGTGAAGGGAAATATTGCATGCTAAGCTGTGACTATTGTTTGTTATGTCTGCTTGAGTCTCCAACCTGCTATACCTGGCTGCTATTCCCGCTCCAGTGCCCACCGCCAGAATAAGGCTCGGCGGTAAGAAACTCATCAGTTTTATTGCGAACTAACGAGCGTGAGAGCGTGAGTGCAAAAGTACAACGGCCCCAGGCTATTTTATTCGTGGGAGGCTGTCTGATCTTGTTTCAAGGCTGTCTTACGCTGCCCGACTTTGAGGCAAGGCTGTCGCGCGCTGCACACTGAGGGGGCGTTGTCTGTCTGGTCAGCGTCTGGTGGAGCTGAGGTTCTCAGTAGTTTTCCGGCATCGAGTGGTTACTTTCAGGAATCTAGGCTTCCTGATTTTTTTCGCAGAAGAATGTGCACTCCATTGCATTACATACATTTCCATCCATAACACTCACTTAGGAAGTGTTTCAATTTGCGTAGTGAAAAGAAGGAGCAGCACCACATAGGTTTCCCTCTGGCGGAGAAACTGATTTCCTACATCAGTGACCGTTTGCCACGTAATAAAACGTAACTTGAAGCGGTTCTATCATCTTTAGTTGAGCTTGATACTGTCTCAGTCCCAACTTGGCAATACTGGCATTTTTGTTGAGCAGTTTGGGGGTGTTGAAGAGTGATATGTGATCGCCAAATATCTGCGACAATGTTCTGATCGTTTCAACAAAAGTTGGGATCCCACGGAAGCTTGGGAAGAATGAGGTATGTACACAGTTGCTGCACCGGTGTACGATTTTTCTCAGCTATTATCTGATTTTTCATCCGCTATCGAACTAAAAAAATCAGTACTGAGCATGTCTTTATACTGCTTGGATCAGGAGTTAAAAGTGTGACCAGAAAGTGGGTCGAATATAAACTCCGTGTTTGAGGATGCGGTTGCATCAGCTAGAGACACAGAAGACTCACTGGCACTGGTTGTTTGAGCCTGGATATGCAGTCTCTGAACAGTGGTTCATTGGGCTTCATTTCCGCTTCTTCGAACTGCTGTTGCTGCACTTAAAAGGCTAGTCGTATATAAAGTTTAGATAACGACAACGTTTTGGAAATTCTGACGCCTTCAGGATTCGACACTGTTAACCATTCGACTGGCTGTTAGGTCCAGACTTTTGGCCAATCAGAGCTCGCTTGACGCTTGGGCCAGCCGCGTGCGGGATAGGGTTATTGGCCGAATCAGAGCCCAATTGCGAGTGGTAAGTCGGAATTCCGCCTAACAGTCGTGTCCCTTAAGCTGCCTAGGTCCAGCTAAAAGTTCCAGATATAAATATTCAGGTATCTGGTGGTTCAGAGACTTGGCTCACACCAGATGTCTCTCACGCACGCATCTCGATAGACGGTTACTCTATTTTTCGAGCAGACTCAAAACGAGGGACGGCTGGTGGGGTTGCTCTGTACTTACATGCCACCCTACCAATCCCGATTGTCCTCTCTGACACCACCCCTGCACCCTTTTGCGATTCACTGTGGGTTTAAATCCCGCTNATACACTGTGGGTCTAAGTCCCGCTGCGCGGGTCCGATTCTCTCCTTCTCGGTGTGGTCCACCGTAGCCCCTCGAGTCCACCTGAAGATGACCAATTCCTCATACAAATCCTTGAGCGTTTTTTTCACATTTTTTCACCACATTACCAACTACTTCGGGCGTTCCACGCTCAAAATAGCCCGTTGATGGGAGTCTTTCGCCTGCCGACAAGCCTCCACACGACAACAGCTCTACTTCCTCCATGAAAGCTGATGCTATTACCACAACCTCGAAAACAATTCATCCTTAGTCCGTCCCTGCACGATAAATAACTCATTTTTGAATGTATAGTTATACATACCGTGTAAGACACCGGGGATTATAAATAAAAAAGCGTCACACCTTATGCAAAGACGGAGGACGACTGAAACAAACACATAAAAACGCCGTTGCAGTGCATGTAAGCCAAATTAAGGTTCTATTTATAATTAAAATCCTACGCAGCCTTTCATGATCTCCTCATAGGTAACAAAAATGAGGAATGGAAAAGTTGTGGTGATAGTGATATTCCTCCATGAATGCCTGCAGAAACACGTCCTTCCACGTAGCGTAACCTACCGACCACCAATAAACCATCCACAAACTTGGATAATAGTCAGACAGAATGGCCGACGAATGGTCAGACTCATGATTACAGACGCTCACAACCGCATTAGGAAATACGAGAGAATAACCAAACGAACATAGGGAGGCCTGCTTGAGGACAATAGGACCAGCTCTCATAGAGCAACTCAGCATGGCGGTAGAACGAAGAGTTTCATCTACTGCTAAAAACAAGAAGGTTCATCTAGATGGCAAATTCTCAAGGCTGATTAGGAACCAGGAGTTCGAAAGTAATCACAATGAAGCATGGATAAGGAATTTATCCAAAAGGCAACTGACGGTAGCTGAAG